CAGCTTTACTAGACTCAACAAATCTAACTTCTATGGCATCAACAAAACCTTTAGCATTTTCATTATCCGAAATAGCACCCATAATGGATCGGATATGGAGGGCCTAATAATTTTCAAAGAAATCCTATTAGTCGTTTTCCACTTTTCATACTCAGCTACATATTTGGGATCACTTTTATCTATGGCTTTCGAAAGCTGCTTCTCCATTGCAAAATCTAACCCCAAAAGACCAAGTGCTATTTCTACGTCTCATTTCCATCTCACTTAATTATTCCCAATCAATGTTTCAATAATAGACAATTGACTCAGAAGAGTTGAGACATTTAAAACTGTAGAAATATAAAATAACATATTTNGCATAATTATTCTCAGTCAAGGTTTCAAAAGCCAAAAATTGACTCGAAAGAGACAAGGCAGTTAAAACTGGAGAAATATAAAATAACATATTTAATATCATCCAAACATAATGCATGCAAACAATGGATGATAACATATCTATCTACTTAGATAGTCTCCAATTAAAGTAAAAAAAAAAAAAAATCAAATGAACATTATTATGATAAGAGCCTAGATGCATTATTATAAAGTCATATTTGAGCTAACAATATAACACGCTATAAGGTACTCTTAATACACATGATCAATTTAGTTAACAAAACAAATTGATTTTTGAAATAGCAAGACCTTTGGACAGAAGGAAATTTCTAGATTAAGTAAACTCGTCAACTGTCTTATACCAATTTCACATATAATAACACTTTTGGGCAATATACTATATATAATAATTCAAAACTACGATCCTAATGTTCATTTTTTTTGTTGTGAAAATCTAAATAAAAATTAGTGTGCAACTTTGGTGGCTACCACCCATTTTTATTTCAAAATATTTCCAATAAAAAATTCGATCACAAAATAATAATTATGCAACAAATCATAATTATCAACTGATGAAAGGCAAAATTCATATGTGATCGAGAAACGAAATTGACAACAAAATTTCAATATATGAAAGGTGAAATTCAAGTGGACAAAAATAGCATCATTTAAATATATACTACCATTTAACGAAAATATAAAAGTCGTCAATTTTAAATACAATTTGAATTTTAGGTCGAAATTGAAATATACTTGGATCAAATTTAAAAATAAATTGATTTAATAATTTATTATTTCATAAATAAAAAATAAAAAAAAATCTGATTTTTGAATTTTCAAACTATAAACCTGATTTTTGAATTGGTGTAAAGAATACACCTTATTTATAAATTTTTCCCTACATCTAACCCGTAAAATTCGCAATCAAATGAAACACACATAATATAATTATTCTAACAATAAAATGAAAGTATATGACATTTTATAGAAGTAAAATATATTTTACAATACTCTCTATGACAATATATAAAAACATTATTATAATCAATGACATTTTTGGGCCCTTCATGTCTACATGCGTCTTCTCCTCAGATTCCTTTGGGCCCTTCATGTCTACATGCTGAGAAATTAGCTTTCATTCCCTTTAAAATACCCCTACCCCACCCTCTAATTGACTGGCTTGTGTAGAGCATGTTTGGCTACTCTGAAAAGTCGGTCAACGGTTAAAATTCATTTAAACAGATTTACATATCAAGTGAAAAAGGAAAGTGGCCAGAAATTTCCTGCGTCTTCTCCTCAGCTTCCTTTGGGCCCTTCATGTCTGCATGCTTTCATTCCCTCTAAAATACATATTAAGCAACATTCATGTTCCACTGTATTTAATTGGTTAGAATAAAAAAATAATAAATTTTAACCAATTGAATGCGCGCACACACTTGTATCCACCAAAAACATATGCAAAATCTGTAAACAAATTCCTCTTATTTGGGTGACGTTTATTGATAATCACGCACTTATATCTCTTCAAACTGTGTGTGGAAATGAGTAGAATTTACGACAACTGGGAGAGGCTGGTTGGAGCCACATTAAAACGAGAGGAGTTTCGGGAACTTGCTCGTGGCCCCAGTTTCAGCTCTACATCTTCAGATTTCAGTTCCAGGTTCAGTTTCAGTTCCCCAATTCACAATCATATTCCACTAACCCCTGAAGGTGCGTCTCTTATACTTTTTGTGATAATGAAGCAATTAGAGGCCAGTCTATATTAATTATTTGGTTAAGGA